CGAGATTTGGTATGTTGTATATTAGTATATGACATAAATTAAGATTGATTGACGTATTCAATTGTCTTCGGCCACTTCCTGTTTCACCGGAAGCCACTACAACTTTTGATTCTTAAATCACATCCTCAATATATTTTTACTATATTCTGTAGAAAATGACACACTGGATACCATATTATATGTCAACTTTTGACATTTTTGCATATTATATATTTGCATATATTTTTGCAACAATTTAACTCGAAACACCAAGTGTATGGTACCAAATTATTCGTAAAAATTTAGATAGAATTAAAAATACAATTTGGGCATCTTTCAAGCGGCCAGGACAAGTCACGAAAAACATTAGATGATCAAATTAATTTTTTCAAAGCTCCTTGATTAAAAATTAGTGATTTTAACACAGCCATGGCACTCAATATTGAAATTTAAAATACAATTTTATTTTAAGCAAAAATGTCAAAAGTTGATATATGATATGTCATTCTGTTCAGTGTGTCATTTTCTATCGAATAAAGTATAAAAAAAAAGCGGTCGAAAAGAATTGAATACGTCAATCAATCCTAATTTATGTTATATACTAACATACCAAATCTCGTTTTTTTATCTGAAAAAATAAAAGTCATAGGGGTGAGCCACTTTTGAGACGCACCCGGTATATAGAATGTTAGACTTAACATAAAATAGTTGAGCTCCTCGAAATATAAATAACATGTTCCTATTGAATATATAAACCAATCTATTAAAAATTCATTTTTATTGATAGTGTGCTACATAATGTTATATTAGATTTTTTATCGTAATATTCATACTCCAGCGCAACCAAAATAGCGGGTAATAAGAGCTTCAAAGTAATAAAATAACGTTAATATCAAAGCACAACAACTATGAAGTTAATGTACTTTTCAAATATTATATTGCGTTAATATTTAACGTCATGCCATGAAATGTAGCATAAAATTTTATTTTAAAATAACAACCTCTTTTTATATACTAGAATTTAGTAAGTGTTTTAATGTGTGTTTAATTTAACATGAATTCACATTGAGTATAAATAATAGAGAAAATAGTTAATTTTATATTTACTTCGAATGAAAAGTTAATTTTTAATATTTTTTTTAACCGCCTTAACTGCTTGTTGTCAGTTACAGAATACAATGAATGTGTATGAAGTGTTTAGAGGGAGTTCGTGTAAAGATCTCGAGACATGTGAATTTTTCTACAAGATTTTGATCAGTGATGTGCTAGGTGATTATAACACTATGTAAATAAAAAGCAATCTCAACCTACCGCATATGTATATTGTTCAATCTAGTACAAAGGTTTAAAAATATTTCATAATTTTTATAACACAAGCAATATTTAAAAATTATTGTCAGGACAGGGGAACGATTCGGGACATATCTAAAATTTTGTATTCATATCTACAGTATATCTACAATTTATACAATTATTGTCTGGTTTTCTTGGATGTCAATTAATTTTGCTTGGAAAAATATATATCTATGGTTTAACTTACTGTTTTTAGTTTTTTAATTTTAAATCTATTTTTTAATATGTAACCAATTTGTGACATCCAAGAAAATGTTTAAAAATTAATGTTCTCTAAAAATATCTACGGAACACTTCTATCTTATCTTGTACAACATTAAGAGTACGACGCAGCCTACTACGCATACATACATTAGTTCACGTTTTTTACCCCTGTTAGGGGTAGGCATACTAAAAATGGAAAAAGAAGAATTTAGCTAATCAATCTGATCTATCTAGAACAAATGAGCTTAATGGGTCTTTATGACTGCAATGTGTGTAATTTGTGTTCAAAGTGTGATGCTTTTACTCCAATATTTATTGGATATATAATAATTTATTAAAAAGGTATATCACCGTAAACAGATATCTAACAGTTCTTAAATTTTATACAAATTTTAATAATTAAATTAAGATTAAACTGTAGAGGCGGCCTCATTTTTGTGGGTTTCTCGTATATAAGTAGAGATACAAAGATGCGATTTTTACATCACTGTGCTACATTTTTATGGAACTAAAGATGCAACGCAGATTTATTCTAACCTCCCTTGCTTTATCAAATACAGGACTATTTTGAAAATGTTGAATTTTTTTACTTCCTTCGTACAGTATAACTTTAGTAGTCCGGGTAGATATCGTTCCAGCATATGACCGGATTATCGAGGTGTCTAGAGTCTGGAATTACTGGAGCTACTTAAATTTATTTCTTTAGAAAATGAAAACAAGTCAAAGATTTTCAAAAATAACGTTTATTAATCTAAATTATAGATAAATACTAGTTTCCCATAAAAAAACTAATTCCTAGCTGCGTTGCAGCACGGTATGAACAGTTAATTGGTCTTTGGATCTTTTAATATGGATCTGATTTTTCATCTTGATGAACTTATCTGCGTTGTATATTTGCTCTTTGCATATTGTTATAGTATCTAGAACAACAGATCTAAACTTTTTCCTAAAACGGAATAACGGCAGTGACATCTCTGGAACATAACAGTAACATTCCTGGCCACATATCGTCAAAAAAAAACGTGATTTGTGCCCTAACTTGAGTTAATACATAACTTATTATATATGTTACTGTAAATGTTCGAAATGCGGTAAAACCTAGGATAAGCGCGCTAAACCCAAGGTTTACCAAAAGCATGTGGTAAAATCCCGAAAATTATTTATTTTGCTTCCATTTCGGACTTTTACCGGACCCAAACATTAAATCTTAGGTTTTACCACACCGCATTGGTAAAAGTACGAATAAGCAAGTGGTAGTAAAAACCAACCAACCCCACCAAATAACCACCTAACCAATGCATTAACACCCCCCAAATAACCAGGCTAACCAATGCATTAACACCCATATTGTTGCTATAAGAAAAATAATTCGTACTTTTACCAAGGCGGTGTGGTAAATCTTAAGATTTACTGTTTGGGTCCGGTAAAAGTCCGAAATGGAAGCAAAATAAAGAAGTTTTCGGGCTTTTACCACTTGCCTTTCGTAAATCCTAGGTTTAGCGCGCTTATCCTAGGTTTTACCGCATTTCGGACATTTACAGTGACATATATATAACCAACATTTGACGTCAAATAAAGTATTCGATTGTTTTGATTACCTATTTTAAACCGGTTGCCTATGTTAGAAAGTGAAATAATGCATTTTTACCTTGTTTATGGCAAGAAGTATCAAGTATGTTATATTTTTAGAAAACTAATAACAAGGCAAATAAAATAGTGATATATGCATATATATCTGTATATTAGTGCATACTAATATACAGGATATCCTATTTAAAAAAAAGTAAGTTTGGGTCAGAATTCAAGAATGGGAGCTCGCAGAAAAAAAATCTAGTGCCACTGAATTATACGTGACAAATTCTATTCAGTTTTCACCTTTTCGATAAGTTATAAAATAACCCAGATACGAAGAGATAGAAAAATGCAACATTTTAAATTTCAATTTTTAATTTTTAAATTTCCGGAACTTAGAGGGCTAGAACAAATCTGCATGTAGCATCTTTAGTTACGTAAAAAATTAGCACATTGATGTAAAAGCTGCATCATTGTAGCTCTACTCATAGAGCGAGAAACCCTCGCTCGAAATGGGACATCCATTGTAACTAATATAATTATATTAGTTACAATTAATATATATTAATATTATGCAGGGTATAAAAATAGTTTACCAAACTTTAGTGGGTGATCCTACATATAAAAATGAAAGAAAGAGTCTTGTGAACATGACCTGAGATGCTTATTGGGGAAGTAACAGCTCTTGAAAGTCTTTACAGGCCTCACTTGAAATATAGCTTGTATTTTTTTAGATTATACCTGATATGTAATTACATTATTAATTGTTTTCAAATTTCTACTACTTACATTACATATCAAAAATTCCATTCTCATGATCTTGCTAAGGCTACTATTACACTATCAAATTTCTTTGTCAAAGATTTTATTTTATCTAAGAATTTGATAGTGTAATATGTGTGATATTATAAAATATTGTTTATGCAATATATTGTATAAAAGATCTTCGATAAAGAAATTTGATAGTGTAATAGCGGCCATTAAAATCGAAGAATCATAATCCTTAAAGGCAAATACCAAAATTTGGTTTCATAAGCGGTTCGCCAACAACCAAACCAAACAAAGCAAAAAACACCCTTCATGAGTAAAAGAACTTTAGCATTTAATCCCATATGTTGAAATTACTATATCCATTAGGCTAAAAAAGTTTTATGAAAAACTACTCACTGCCCTAATGGGAAGTGACCTTTCAGCTACTTTTAAATTTAATAAAGTTTTGGCGTTAAAATGTGTTGGAATACCAAAAAAAGAAAACGAAATATGTTATATTTATCTACCATTTTGAGGGCTGTAACTGCTTAGGGAAGCGTATTAGGGCTTCCATAGAAACATTTTGTATTACCTTGCACTTGTGCACACATTTTGTTACACCTGCACTGTATCAAAATCTATAAAATAGAATAGTTATTTTTTGTCAACACTGCTGCGCTAATCCAAGGGAGACCAACTAGTCAGCGGTTCTTGCAATGCAAGTAGAAGATTTATCTATTTCGTTTTATTTTTATCTGTAAAATCATCCACTGAAGTTTGGTACACTATATTTTAAATCCTGATATAAATAATGATTTCTAATACTGTATAGTAATTATTAGTAAATAACCGTTAATATATTTTTGAGTATATTATGATTAATGCAAAAATATAGTTATATTCCTTGTTATAAAATAAAATACTGCATAAATAGTTTTTCTTGTGGTATTTAGTGTTATTATAAAAGTATAGTGTAGGACTCTACTGTAAAGGGTAAGAATTTAGTATAAACATAGAAACACTATAGATTTTATAAAATTAACTCAAAAGGACAGACGCATACAGTACAATTTTGTTCATGCAGACGTTTTACAATATATATATATATATATTAAACAAGGCTCAAGTTAGAGTTTACTTACCTCGCACTGTGTGTTAACATGATGATATTTCTGTAACAAGACAATATTGTAGCACATTTTCTAGCATTAAGGAATGCATAATATATTAAGATATGATCAACACCTTCTTTTTTAAAAAAGTATATATAGAGAAACTGAGAATCGCTCTTGTTTATTAATGCGTGTAGTTTTGTCTTATGATAACTTTTAAAATGTCATATTTGAAATTTTATTCATATTTTCTAATATCACATTATTATATATTTTATCATATTTATTTTGTTGCAAGATTTACTTTACAATATTTCATTTGTAATGATAAAATATGCAACACTCACGCCAGTTAAATCTATTTATCATCGTAAACAGATGTAAATATGTATAAAATGTTTTAAATTTGCTGTTTACAAATTTCAATTTTTTATGTAATATTTATTCATGGTGCCGATAATATCTTCGATAAAACAGTAATAATCAAATTATATAGGGATATAGTGGTGCAATACAAGTGCAATATAATGATTTAATATTAAGTGATATATAAGCTTACTGTGACGTTGCGTTTTAAAGGTAATTTATATACCTTTTATTTCAATAATATTATAATATTAATAAGTTTGACGTTGGAGTCATAAGCATTGTAAAAATAATTTACTTTTATACAAATTGAGAATTATATGTTAACACACTTCATATTTTAAGATATTATATATATGTTTTTAATCTGTCTAAGAAATTATAAATCAATTAAATCGTGACAAATAGAACAATAGTAATAAAACAATTTTAAAATGTAGATACATATATTTTCTCAATCTGTACGTTTCAAAAAATGTTCAAAAAATACCGAAAAACTACAGCAAAAATCTGGCTTACAAAAACTGACCTTGCCATTGGTGATACGAGTGGATATTCTGCAAACAAGATTTGTATTTCGGAATAGAATCTGTTGCACTGTACATAGTTTGAAAAATAAACTTTTAAAACTTAAAACTTTTTTTTTTGTTTCAAAAAACATGTGCCATCTCTCGTGGGGAGATTCCTCACGTAAAAATAAGATTTATTTTTCATCTTTATACCGGGTGCGTCTAAAAAGTGGCTCACCCCTATAACTTTTTTATGTTTTTCAGATAAAAAACGAGATTTGGTATGTTAGTATATGACATAAATTTGGAATGATTGACGTATTCAATTGGTTTCGGTCACTTCCTGTTTCACCGGAAATGACTACAACTTTTGATTTGGCACTCTCGGTATTTTTTTACTTTATTCGATAGAAAATGAGACTTTGAATAGAATGCCACATCATATTATGTCAACTTTTGACATTTTGGCTATGGTTTATTGGAAATTGTAACATGCGCTTCATAACGACAATTTGACTCGAAATACCAAGTGTTGTAACGTTTTTAGTTCGTTACATGTCTTTTTTATATATAATATATGATGTCTGGGCCTATCATCACCGGATTCCCTATCGTTCAGGCCGGATAGTTTATTTGACGCGTAATTTTTACGTTCCCTAGTCGCCAACCCTGTTATCGTTCGACACAACCCTGTTATTGCTCTGAGGAGGCGCTGTCAACATCGCTTCTGTCAACTGTCTCCGTGCTTAACCTCACTTTGTTTTGACGCTCTGTTGTATCCCAGCTTTTAGAAATGGTGATTATTTAAATCTTGCTGTATAATCTGAATCAGCTGCTATTTCAAAGCAACAGGTAAAGATGAAATATTATCCTTTTAAATTCGATATTATTATTGAATATTTTTAGGGTAGAGTTACGGATGTCCCAACTTGTATATGTGTTTTGCTGGCACGTTGGCGTCCCTTTTCTTTTGTCCTCCAGAATGTCACATGGAAGAAAGGACATGTTGTTTATTATTTATTGAGCCCTCGGAAGTATTTCGAGGTAGGTTTATTTTGTTTATTAGACCTTCTTAGGTTTTAAACAAGAGTTTCATATTTTTAGGGTCCAAGGTACGGACTGTGTCCAAGTACGGACTGTGTCCAAGGTACGGACTGTGTCCAAGGTACGGACTGTGTCCAAGGTACGGGTAGTGTCTTATATACAGACATTATCTTATGTACAGATGTCCTGGGGACGAGTGTCCCCAGTAAGAATGATTTTTTTCTTACATATAAGTGCCACAGCGTGGATGTAGCTTGAGTCCCATGCTGCTTCACTCCCATTTCTAAGCCTAGTCAGTAGCTACGGCTGTAGTGATTCACGGTGTCCTCAATCTGGCCCCTTTTGTTGTTTTGGCCAACAGGATCGCCGACAGACAGTAGAGATGCTAGACCACCTCACGCTGCTACTGTTTGAAGCAAGGTTACATAAAAGAACAGCTAAGTGTATATTTAAGTTCTAGTTTTACATTTAACATCTAAAATATTTTCAGTCTTAAACAGTAACGTACATTTTAAATAATATCGTACAGACTATATTTAGTGGTTAGATTATTAAGAACATTTATGTCGATGCAGTAGTTACAATGTGATTTAGATTTTATGTTTCATTATATTACGCCTTGTAATAGTATTACTTTCTATAGATATTATTATTGCGCTATATTAACAGATGAATAACGAGACATAGATTCTAGAATCTACAGGTTGCAACACATCAGATTTAACACCGCATAAAATTTAACAATTTAAATAAAGTAATGCTACTTTTATTATATTTTCTATAACGTTACACGCATTGTATTTTTTCATAGTCTTTTCATAGAACATATTTAATATTATTTACATACATAGTTTTACTCAACAAATAACCACTATAATAATTATTAAAATTGTACAATGCTATTTACCATCAGAATTCATCATGAATAAATATAGTCATTAGTTTTAAGTATTATACAACTGTGTTTTCTTTCTCTGTACACGCCTGGCGCCCAATATCTATATATCTTTTGTTAATTATTACTGATTAATTTTCTCTTCGCTACTGACCTTATCCACGACTGCTCTCCGATGAAAAGCTGCCGTTCGCAGTGGTAGTGGTTTAAAAAAACGCTACAGTGTGTGATATAAAATTATTCGTAAAAAAACATTTTCCAAATATGCCAATGAGTCTCCCTCGTCTCATTTGAAAAAAATGCGTTATGATAAAAAATACGATTTGGACATCTTGTATCCGGCCAGGACAAGACACGAAAAACACTAGACGATCAAATCTATTTTTCCAAGGCTCCTTGATTAAAAATTAGTGTTTTTAACACAGTCGTAGGATAGATTGAAATTTAAAATACAAATAATGAAATGTGTGCGAAAATGTAAAATGTTGACATATGTCATTCTATTCAGAGTGTCGAATAAAGTAAAAAAATACCGATGATGCGATTTAAAAATCAAAAGTTATAGTCATTTCCGGTGAAACAAAGAGTAGCCGAAAACAATCGAATAAGTCAATCAATCCAAATTATGTCATAATATACTAACATACCAAATCTCGTTTTTTTTATCTGAAAAAATAAAAAAGTTATAGGGGGTAAGTCACTTTTGAGATGCACCCGGTATAGGTCCGGTTCTGCTTTGTTAGGTAGCTACAGGGTGTTAAAGTCTTAATCTTTTTTCGATTTGTAGTAATTTTCTTCCAAGTACTTTTAACCTTTCTAATGAAATTTTGAAGGTAAAAATTACTATAAATACGACATATTTTAAAGCTGAAAAAGTGTCGACATATTCACGAGGGAAGCCCAAAAGCATACACGTTACTGACTTATTTTCCTTGTTAGCAAAATAGTGTAAGCAGTTTAATGCCGAATAAAGGTTTTTTCTTGATATTTTGTCGATTTCGGCCTCCTCAGGTAAACGCAATTTTATTAATTTGCCTTGATACAAGCCTAATAGCAACCTTTAACAAATTTTAATATCATTAACTTACGAAAGTTTTAAATAAGTATTCATTGATTTCTCATCAAAAAATATGAAAAAGAGTTTCTATAAACATGGGTATGGATATGCGTGGTTTTAGAGTTTAACTTTTTAAAATTATTTTTTTTTAAATTATCTTAAATGCCATTATTTTTTTATATGAAAGTACTGTAGGTTGGACTAATGATAATAATAACTAAAAGTAATAATATTTAAAGAGGAGGCCATCAAGGAGGCCAAATTCGACAAAATATCAAGAGATAACTTTTAATTGGTCTTAAACGGCCTACACAATTTTGATACCAAAAGAAAAAGTCAGTGGCGCACATGCTTTTTTTTTAAAATATGCATATGGATTATGCACGTCCCTGATGAATTTATCGGCACTTTTTAGCATTAAAATACTTATAGTAACTTTTACCCTCAAACTTTTATTCGAATCACTAAAAGTACTTGGAAGAAAATTAGAATAAATCGAAACATTATTAAGACTTTAACACCTTGTAGTTACCAAAGAAAGCAGAATCGGACCTATGTTGATATGAAGAATAAATCTTATTTTTACGTGAGGAATCTCCCCACTAGATGGCGTTTTTTAACGTTTTTTAAAACACCCTGTATGTAATATTTTTCTAAATATTATTAAAACTAATAAGTCAAAAAAATCTTTATTAAAAAAATAGAAACACACTATATTTTGCAAAACACACTGTTATTGTTTAAAACGTGCTTCACTACAAAAAAACAATTTTGTGAATCAATCAAGTGATCAAATACGACTCTTTCACATGTAGTTGGTGTTATCTATAATAGAGAGTACTTAGATATCGCGTTCAATTTTAGAAATGTGTTCAATTTAATTACTTAATAAAATAGAAAATATAAAAAATTACCTTAAAAGCCTGGTGATGTAGTCTGGCCAATTATCAGGGAACATAACCAAGAAGAAACCCACAGCTATGAGAATCATACCAGCCAATTTCATACCCTCAAATTGAGCACCATATAAAACTACGTCCAGAGCTAAAAGAACATTTCTATTGTGTAATGGTAGTAATAAATATTATTATCTGTATATACCTGCAGAAACAGGGACCGCTGTAATAAGACCCAAAGTTATAAACATGTCGTATGTCAGGGCGACGCTAAAGTTTCCGAGCAAATTGGCAACTGAAACGAAATAGAATTACAAGACTTTTATTATTGGATGTTGTATAAACAGAAACACGTTTAAAGGAGACAAGCGAAACAAGTTCTATTTGGAAAACTTGTTCAGTTGTACTGTATTAAATTTTGTTATAAAGTTATATACCTCAAAAAGCATAACATATAAGTTAATACAACTTTAAAATAAGTTTCCTGTTTGTTATTCATGGTCGAAGTTTTACGAAAAATGAATGACAGGGAAGTGAATGAAAATGGATGTTAAATTGAAATATAAGGAAATCACAATAAATCAAAGGTTATAGCAACATATTAAAGCAAAACAAATTTAAAAACAAGATTTATAATGTGATTAAAAAGTAAAAGTATGACATTTATATAGAGAAATTCGATACAAATAAAAATCACCACGTAGGAGTGGTTATGGAGAGTTGAATTAAAAAAACAGTTAACATAAAATCAGTTTATCTTGCATAACTACGCTATGTTTTGCCATGAAATCAAATAAAACAAATCATCATCATCATCATTTCAACTTACTCAACCATTTCCAATTATAATGTAGCTTTCCTCACATATTTAGATAATCTCTTTGTAGTTGGGCCCATTGTTGTATATTGTTGGCTATGCGGGCCAAAGTCATCCCTGTTAATTTCCTACAAATATCTATCATGTTTCCATTTAAGGTTTAATTTTTTAGGTTTCTTAATTCCTCGTGGGTACTATGCTGTAATTTTTGTGGTCCATCTGCTATCCATCCATTTCTGGTAGTAGAGATCTCGAGCTGTGTATTAGTTGTCTCAAAAATCTATATATTCTTCTACTATTTCCAGTGTTGTGTTATTTATTAGAATGCCTTTTCTGTCTACTATAATAGTTCATTGTACATTACTTTCTTCTTCTTTGCGTGCCGTCTCTTTCGTGGAGGTTGGCGATCACATTACCAAAATCTTCACGATTCTCGGCTTTCCTTATGAGTTCTTCAAAAGTTAGGTGAGTCCAGCTTCTGATGTTTCTCAACCAAGATAGTTTCTTCCTGTCGAGACCTCTCTTTCCTTCAATCTTACCCTTAACTATCAATTGTAAGATGTGGTATTTTTTATTTCTCAATATATGCCCTAAGTATGATGTTTTTCTTATTTTTACTATATTGAGCAATTCTCTTTCTCTGCCTATTCTGTTGTAGACTTCGGTATTTGTGATATGGGCTGTCCATGAAATTTTAAGCATTCTTCGATATATCTATGTTTCGGACGATTCGAGGCGATTCATCTCTTGAACTTTCTGTGTCCATGTTTCTGCTCCGTATAATAGGATTAACCAAATATAACACTTAACGAGACTAGTTGTCAACTCTAGGTCCAATCTGGGGTTCTGGAAGACGTTCTTCATTTTTAAAAATGCATTTCTCGCCTGTTCTATTCTGGTTTTTATTTCCACGTCGTTGTTCAAGGTGTTAACTATCCAGGACCCCAAATATTTGAACTTGTAGACCTGTTCTAAGGTATTGTCCTCTATTTTAATAGGAATTGGTATATTTTGGTTCTTTCCAAATACCATGACTTTAGTTTTAGAAGAATTGATCTTCATCCCGTATTTCTTACAGGAGCCTTCAAGTCGTTCCACTAAACTCTGGAGACTAGTAACAGAGTCGGCAATAAGAACTGTGTCATCGGCAAATCTAATGTTGTTAATGACTTCGCCGTTGACTTCAGTACCGCAATCTGTTGAAGAGAAAGCTTTCAAAAAATTGCCTCAGAATAAACAGTAAATAACGAAGGAGACAGCACATTACCTTAGTTTTTGCTAAATTCATTTTGAGACTTATTTTATTGCTGCCTGTTTAGTTCACTAATTTGCGCTTCTAGTTCTTCTAGAGTATTGGCAATTAGGACTATGTCATCAGCCAATTTTGGTTAAGATATTCTTTGTATATTTTTAATCTTTTATTGATCCAATCTAGTTGACGGAGGATTTCTTCTAGTGTTTTTGGGTTATTGCGTCTCTCTGTCGTACTGCTTTGCAAGTTGGGAACTCTGGTGTTGTTTTACATGTCATTATACTCTACTTTTGGCTTCTTTGTATATAGTTGCGAGAGTTTTGCTCTATATAAGGCTGGTCAGTTTTCGAGTCCAAGGCCTTCTCAAAGTCTATAAAGGCTATGGCTAGCGGAAAATATTAAAAAGTTGTGGTAATATCTGTGGTAATTCATTAGGGATCGCATTAGTGCTCGTCTGGCGTTGCCCAATATACGCCGAGCTCTAGCTCCTTAGATAGGTGACTTGAAGTAAAAGCCACAGGGAATAAGGTTTTTATCCCGTACTATACATAAGAAGGAAATGTAGGATTCCTCTTTAGTCAGTTTAATTTAGCTCTTTTCGTAGCATTGGAATTTCTCGCTGATGCCGGGAATTTCTCGCCGTACCGGGTTTCCAACGTTACTTTGAATGTGGTAGGCAATGCTTCAGTATTAAAACTAAAATAATTTTGGACTTCCATTGTCTTTATTTATTTTGATTCCACAACGTTTCGGTTAGAAGCATCACTGTTATCACGTCTAAACTAAACTAACCTCACATCATAGTAAACCTCCTTACTTACTTACTTACTTACTTACTTACTTACTTACTGCCATTACCCACTGACGAGTATTTGACACACATCAGAAGATGATTACGCAAGACGTTTTCTTTCATGAGCTTTTCTGTGACTGAAAAGCCCGATACGTGATGTTATCTCTCTTCCGCACTCCGGACATGCAAAATTACATATCATTACTTTGTTGCCTATTTACTTTTTGGTTGTCGTTGTTAACTGAGTTTACAATTCTCCTCCATTGCGTTCTATTGTGCGCTGCTTCCTCCCACTGATGCTGCATACTTATCCCCTTTAAGTTTTCATGGAAAACATACTTGTATCTTTTGAGTTGTCCACCCGGTTTCTTCTTACCCTCTACAAGTTCACCGTAAAGAAGAGATTTCGGTAGGCGGTTTTCTTGCATCCTGCATACACGGCCAGCCCATCTTAAGCGAGATTTAGTAATCATGACTTCAGCGGTCTTGCAGCCTGCTTTTTCAAGGACTGATACGTTTGAGACAAGGTGGTACTATTTAATTCTTAACAGTTGTCTAAGGTGTTCCTGTTGCAACTTGTTTAATGCGCTCGTGTGCCGGCGGTACGGCACCCAGGTTTCGCTTCCATATAGCATGGTGGGGATTATTACTGCTAGTTTCGTTTTTGTGCTCAAGTCATGATTGTAGAAAACCCTGTCTTTTAATTTCCAGAATGCTCTTGAGGCGCTGCTAATTCTCTGCTGAATTTCAGAGTCGATATTTACCTTTTCCGAAATCAAACCGCCGAGGTAATTAAATTCCGATTCATATTCCAATAGTTCTTCTCCGATTTTTATAGCGCATTTATGATTTTCATTAATTGCTGTAACGTATATAGAACTAGAGCGCAGTCATCAGCGTATTGGAGTTCTGTGATGAATTTTATACTTGTTTTGCCCTGAGTCTTTTTAGGTTGAACAGACCGCCATCATACCTGTATCTAACACCCATTCCTCTTTCCTGCAGTTTGCTGTCCACTATAAGTTTTCTTGAACAATTTCTTAACTTTAAAAAAGTCATATTTTCTTGGGTTAAGGTTCGTTAATAAATAATAAATTTAGTTTTTTTTTAAAACATCTTTTTGATGTTTCGCCCTTAATTTCGGGGCATCTTCAAAAGTTTTTATTGTCTAAATTTTTTTTGTACAAATTATAATGTCAAAATAAACACTAAAAACATTCATACAACAGATTAAACTAATATACTATATAATTGAGTCAATTAGCTAACAAATACAATTAAAAAACAAGAAAACATGTAATTTAAAAAGGATACGCCACCTTGAGATTTTTATTTTTTCAGCACTTTCAATGTTCGTGCTATTCAACAGGTCTTGCTTTAATAATTTACTGTATGCTAAGAATCTTATCAACAAATGGAATGCATTTTTTAGTGTTTTTTTTTCTTGTTTTTTCTTTGCATAAATGCGTCTTTCTACTGGTCACAAAATTAAGGGTCCTATATCGCATATTTACATTAAGAGTACCTACTATGATTCATTTATTTTTCTTATCAAGCGCTTATTTTTTTTAGATAAAAATGTGGTATATATTGTAAAATTGACCTATTTCAGTATTGTCATTAACGGCGTTCGAATGTTTATCTATTTCTATAACTTCTTTAATAGCCAACTTGTTATAATTTATGTCTCTATTAATTATTTCTGTGTTATGGTAATCAAAAGAGTGGTTAGTATTTTCTTCGTGTTTGTGAAGTGCAGTTTTTGCCCATTTTTGGCACTTATGACCATTTATTCTATTCTTGAGAAGTTGGGATGTCATTCCAATATATATTTTAGGACAATCAGAACATGGAATTGAATATATAACGTTTGATCTTTTCATAGTTGGTAATTTGCTTTTAAGTTTGGTAAACAAAAAGTTGAGATTATTGTACGTTTTATGACAGACAGTTATATTATGTTTTTGTAGAGTATTTTTTATTTTCTCTGAAAGGTCGTGAACATATGGTAAGGCGACATAGGTGTTTTTTTCTGTATTACCACTTTCTTTTTTATTACTAATAGAAATTGAGTTATAAAACTTATAAGTTCTTTTTTAAAAATTTGATTGATTTGCTTAATATTATTCCCAACTAAAGTCTCCCTAATTTTTTTCAATATGGTAGATCTAAATTGCGGGGATGTTAGAGCAATTGCACGGTCCGTTAAACCTACGATGACACTAGTTTTTTCGCTTTTGGAGTGATTGGAGGAACCGTTGAGATATTTACCTGACCAAGTAGGTTTTGTGTACTTAGTCAAAATTTTGCTGTCCTTTCGGATAAGAGTCATATCAAGGAAGTTTATTTCATTGTTCTTTTCTATTTCTGAAGTAAATTGTTAATGTTTGTGAAACTTATTAAACGCTTGTTGGATATCAGTTATTTTATCGTCTGGTACGGCAACTAAGCAATCGTCAACGTAACGCTTAAAAAATGATGTTAAAATTTAAATCTCCTATTACAGTCTCCTCCAAAAACTCCATTACCATTTGTGCTATAACTGATGATATAGGGGAGCCCATAGCACATCCATTTAGTTTGTGTTTCGGTCTTGTCATTAACGGCGTTCGAATGTTTTTTTTATTTCTATGACTTCTTTAATAGCCAACTTGTTATAATTTATGTCTCTATTAATTATTTCTGTGTTATGGTAATCCAAAGAGTAGTTAATATTTTCTTCGTGTTTGTGAAGTGCCGTTTTTGCCGATTTTTGGTACTTATGACCATTTATTCTATTCTTCAGAAGTTGGGATGTCATTCCAATATATATTTTAGGACAATCAGAACGTGGAATTGAATATATAACGTTTGATCTTTTCATAGTTGGTACTTTGCTTTTAAGTTTAGTAAACAAAAAGTTGAGATTATTGTACGTTTTATGAGAGACAGTTATATTATGTTTTTGTAGAGTATTTTTTATTTTCTCTGAAAGGTCGTGAACATTTTAATTTCGGCCCTAGACACAGAATGGTGAAGTGCTATGTCTGGTTCGTTTTGATATATTGTGTCGAAGCATGGACACTGAAGGTAGCAACAATAAACAGAATGTGGACCCTACGACAAATGTTAAGAGTGTCTTGGATCGACCGTGTGAGGAATGAAAAAGAAGAGAAGCTTATTTTGGAGACACTACGTAGAGAAAGCTAATCACTTTCAGCGTCTAATTCTCCAGGGTAAAATTGAGGGCGGCAAAAGGGGAATAGGCCAAAGGAAGTTATCCTGGCTGAGAAATTTTCGTCATTGGACAGGCATACAGGACTTCCAAGCACTCCAAGTCGCTGCAATTAATAGAACTATCTGAATCTGAAGAAGACACTGCTATACCAGAAAAATTAGCCCTTTCTGTCGGTTAATTTGGTGGTAATAATGACAAGTAATTCTCAGGAATTGTATTTTGTAATATCACAAATTTTCTGAAAAATATTGATGAAAAATGGAAAAATTATTATTCTGTAAATTATTTATCAAATATCAGTATAATAAAAAAAAATTGCAAAATATATTAATATTACACTATAATTTTCTTCCATGCTACCGAACACATTTCTTTTTCACAAGGTCCATACGTAAAAGCTCTAATTTGCTTTATCTTACCTAAGGAGAGACAGCTGGCACTTAATAATGCAGGCCAAGGCAGTCGATCCCAGTGGAGCGTTTCGACCCCAGTCAAGAACAGACCTAAACTTAAGGGCCACAATAGTGCGGCGTTGAGCATTCCGATGAGCGAGAAGAAGAGCGCGACTTGGCCGTACGTCGCTTCTCCGATAATCTGAAACATTTCATTTCCGAGGAAATTTAGCATCTGGGACTGCGAAGAGTATTTCTGGAAGAGTTTCTTTTATTCTCTCGTTATAACCTATCAGATTGAATTTGATGCAAACGGTTAGTAGATCTTTTTATATCAAATGAACCGATTTAAGTTATATGAGTTCAAAAATGGTTAAGTCAAAATTAAAAAAAAAATAGAAAGCGTAAACTTTTGCATAGTTTCATTACCTACAGTATGTCCCAGGATGGTTTTTACAAGAGGAAAAACTTTTTTATTATTGAGATTCTGAGAAAAATGCATTTTTTATAAAAAATTGCTTGTTCTAAAATGGTTAATTCCGTTTATTGTTTTTCAAATTTCCATACCGTTTTAGAGAAAATTATGAAAAACATGAAAATATGGAAAGTCCTGAAAGTCTTCAAAAAGCGTTTCTATGGTAATATCAATTCGAGTTCATTCTTTGATAGATGTTTGATAGACGTCATATTCTTTGCTGTTGTTGAAGTAGGTATACAAGCCTCTTCCGTGGCATTGTACTAAATAAATTTTTAGCTTCTCTAACATTTTAAAATAACAAAAAACATTATGTTAATTAAAATTCTATGAATAACAGTCTAATCAGGGAATGGAAACAAAGTTATATTACCATAGAAACGCGTTTTGATTTTTAGAACTTTTTTCTGAATTTTAGAAAAATTCCACCAAATTTTCAGGTTTTTCTTAATTTACTCTAAAAGGGTATGGAAATTTGGCAAAGTATAACCATTCATGTAAGAATTAACCATTTTAGAACACGCATATTTTTTTTATGAAGAATGCATTTTTCTCAAAATGTCGATAATATATTTTTTTTCCTCTTGTAAAGACAATCCGGAAACATACTGTAGATTTAAATTTAAGTGAATATTTAGTATATATTATCCAGAATATGCTTAAAAGTTTATAGATTTTTTAAAAATATTTTTCATGTAAAATCAATTTTTTAGTGATATAAAAGACAAACTTACCTTCTTAAATAAAACCTTGTAAACTCCTGATCCGGCAGCTGCAGAAGTAGCTAGAACAACACCTCCCAGAGTTGGACTTCCGGTAATACCGTCCATATAAGCAAGTAATGCAACACCAGTGTCGCATATTATCACAGCCATTATCTGAAGAAATACTTATTTACAAGAACAAAAACACACATGAATCTGTGTATTATTACAGTGCTTAGATACTTACAAATATTATACATTGATGATTTTATTATAACATTCAACAATTTTCTATTATTTGAAAGTTTTATATAGAGTGCAAAAAAATGTACTAAACTTCACTATAAAATTAAAGGTTAAATAAACATAAACCATAAGATGCTTCGAGGTCATAAGATGTTCAAAAGAAAGTATAGATAAAATAATATATTTTGTATATTTTCAAAAACATTGGTAAATCATTTTCTTTGAAAGTTGGCATTTGTACAAAAAATTTATTACCGAAGTAAATGGCGATAATGTAAAAATCCTTATCAATTTTGAAAGGCTACTTCATTTGGGTAGGTGATTTTTTTAAACTTGTTTATTTTAACGGATACAGTAATTTCAAAGAAAGAGTCTAGCTTAAATAGAGAGGTCTACTTCAGCTGATTCTCCATGGAAAGGTCTTAGGCAAAAGAGGGCCTAGAAGGCGCAGAATCTCCTGGTTGAAAAACATCAGAACTTGGTTCAGTAAAGTTCGAATCGATTTGCTCATGGCCAACATCCGGAACGGATAGGCACACTCGATGAAGTCGTAAAAAATTAGGACTTTTTTAAGTAAGAAAGGTGGGTAATAATGTATTAATTGTTTACACTATACACTTGATAACGGTCAGTAATCCTTCTGACCGAAATGTTGTGTTAATCAAAAATAAATAAAGGCAATCGAAGCCCAAATTTTTTTATGAAAACATTTAAAATAATAATGGCTAACAAGAAACTTCTTAGTGTATATGTTTATACTCTTCACGAAAGTTTGATACACTATTTTTTTACACCCTGTACATCACAGTAGCATTTGAAACGATAGTCGGTGATCATTTCTTTCAGTTCAATGCTTATCTGTCAATAATTGACAGAAAAACTTTTCAAAAATTAATATTTAAATAAAAAAAGTAAAACGTAAGTACGGGAAAATTTATATTTATTTCGATTAAAAATTAGTTATACTTACACGTATTCCGACAAATTGTTCATGTAATATCACCCAGCTTAAAAGATATACGAACGACACGTTGGTGGCAAAAAGTGCCATGACATCTGTTGCGAATAATATTTTTAACGATAATATGTACATATAATTTGTGCCCACCCATAATAGACAAAATATACTGCATCTTGTCATAAACCGACCTAAAACATTTAATAAGTGCCTTTTTAGATACAGTATACGCCATACGGGATGATATTCTTAAAGCGTCAAAGCAATATGTCTTTTTTGAGTTATTTATGTATCAAGAGAATTCTAAGGTTGTTAATTACGGAGGGCAAAGTTTTTGTATCGAGGGACAATAATTGTCAGAAGTTATTAAGACTTTATAATTCTCGTGATATAAAGATAATTTTATTTCTTGTTGTCAATCGAGTTCACTTTTTTTGCAAAAAACGCCATTCGCACCATTTCCATTAAAATGGAGAATATATTAAAAAAGCTAAAGAAGCACGACAAGCGTTACTTCCACCTAAATGTGAGTCCATTTACTAAAAGGAATATAAAAAATACATTTAAAAGTAAAATAGTTTAAAAGAAAAAAAAATATATTGTAGTAAGGAATGTCGATGAAACTGTTCTCTTGTTAATTTATTATTTGTAACATTAATGATAAAAATATTAAAATAAAATAAAGTTGTTAGATCTATATTCATTTTAGATTTTAGTTTCAATTATTCTTTGACCTTATTAAATATATTTTAAATAAATTTAATTCTTGGTTTGAAGTTAGGTGTAAATAAATATTGTACGAATTTAATACATTAATTATTATTTATTGATAAAAAAATTGATTTCATGACGTTTCGACCATTAACTTGGTCTTTTTCATAATGAATAATAATCTTCTACTTGTTCCAAACATCCTGAATGTAGATTTGCTACTTTTTGTTAAAAGTTATCCTAATTTTTAAAAGGCAATAAAACGTGCACACACAGACAACATATATACAGGTACATCATTGAATTTAACTATTTTTAAGTAACCCGATAGACGATAGATATGATTAGTAAACTATATCAAGCAGTGCTGGAATAGCCGTCTATCGGGTTACTTAAAAATAGTTAAATTCAATGATGTACCTGTATATATGTTGTCTGTGTGTGCACGTTTTATTGACTTTTAAAAATTAGGATAAGTTTTAACAAAAAGTAGCAAATCTACGTTCAGGATGGAACAAGTAGAAGATTATTATTCATTATGAAAAAGATTAAGTTAATGGTCGAAACGCAATGAAATCAATTTTTTTTATCAATAAATAAAAATTAATGTATTAAATTTCTAAAATATTTATTTACACCTGACCTCAAACCAAGAATTAAATTTATTTAAAATATTCAATTTATATTATTACTCAAAATCTGTATTGTATTTCATGGTTGTCACCTATAAAAGGTAGAGGGAATTATGGTATCTTATTTTAAGCAAGGGAGTTATGACTATATTTATTATTTACAGCGTGATCAAGACGATATATTAATTCAGTAAGAAATAAAATTATTTTTTGAATTTTTAGATTACTTAAAAAGTCTGAGAAAGAAGTCAAATACAATTTTTATATTTATATCTTAATGATAAAAAATTTGTCACAAATTAAAAAAAAATAAATAAAAAAAGTGTACTACAAATTATGACATACCTTTTTGTTAGTCTTTATACTAATATATAAAATCTCCTTAAATGACTGACATATTGATTAATCACGCGATCCTGCTCAAACCACTCAACGTAAGAAGCTCAATTTTGGCATACAGGTTGATTCTAGGGTGTAGAGGTTCGATAAGAAGGGATTTTTCGAAATTCCAGTTCCAAGAGGGTGAAACCACCCCTCAAATATTACAATATTTTTTATTTTAAAAACGGTCAAATTTCCGAAAAAACGCTTAAACACGTATATTTTATTTTGCTTTTTTACATATTTTAAGATTTTTTAAAAATGTATACAGGGTGTTTCGAAAAATCTGGTCATTGATTAATCACGATCCTGCTTAAAGGGCTTGACGTAAATAGCTGATTTTTGGAAAACAGATTAACTTTAGGGTGTAGAGGTTCGATAAGCAGGGATTTTGCAAAACTCAAATTCTAAGGGGGTGAAACTATCCCTCAAATATTAAAATATTTTTTATTTAAAAACCGGTGAGTTTTTCGGAACAACTCTTAAACACGTATATTTTATTTTGTTGTTTTACATATTTTAAGATTTTTTATAAATTTATACAGGGTGTTTCATAAAATATGACCATTTAGTAATCACGATTCTGCTTAAACTGCTTGACGTTTAAAGCTGATTTTTGGCAAACGGATTGGTTGTGGGGTGTAGAGGTTCGATAAGGAGGGGTTTCTCGAATCTCAAATTCCAAGAGGGTGAAAACGCCCCTCAAATATTACAATATTTTTTATTTAAAAAACGGTCAAGTTTCCGAAAAAACGCTTAAACACGTTTATTTTATTTTGTTGTTTTACATATTTTAAGATTTTTTATAAATTTATACAGGGTATTTCATAAAATATGACCATTGAGTAATCACGATTCTGCTTAAACTGCTTGACGTTTAAAGATGATTTTTGGCAAACGGATTGATTGGGGGGTGTAGAGGTTCGATAAGGAGGGGTTTCTCGAATCTCAAGAGTGCAACCCCAAGAGAGTGAAAACGCCCCTCAAATATTACAATATTTGTTTTTAAAAAACGGTTAGTCTTTCGGGAAAACGCTTGGACAAACATAATTTATTTGGTTTTTTTACATATTTTGAAATTTTTAGGTCTGCTTAAACTGCTTGACGCAAAAAGCTTATTTTTGGCAAACGGATTTTTCTAAAGCTAAATTCCAACGAGATGAAACTACCCCTCAAATATTACCAAGTTATATAATAATATCGCCATATTGTTTTTTCTCATGCTGGCATAAATGTGAGAAAAATTTATCCAGTTTGTATGTTAATGGAAATTCTTGCTTTGCTTTATCATCACCATTACAAATTATTAATTCGACGCGAACGAAGTCGCTGGTACACGCTAGTCTTATATATTGTTGTTTTTCCAAGAAAGTATATGTATATTACAGTTGAAGGTTAGAGCCTTTGCTCTTACAACAGCAAAATAAAACACTAATTTACCACAATACATCAAAACAACCAAAACACTTTACTTTTGCACTGGACACGCGTTTCGCTAACCATGTTGGCATCATCATCGCAAAGCAATTTCCGATGCACGTCGGCAGCGTCGACAGCGCTGCCAGATTGTGATGGATTAATGGGATGAATCTTAATGTAACATTGGGTAACAGTGTGTTTATTATATCATTTGTTTAAAGATGTTTACGTTTTATTTTTAATTTAATAATTAATATTTTAGTAATTAATTGATTTTTTTGTTTTAGAGCTTATTTTACTTATTATATATTGGCAAAAACTAGCCCATTATAAAGATTATTCTAAGCGTTATTAGGGTTTATCTATTTATTTATTGATGTACAACTTACAACACCACAAGTGGAAAAAACAAGAGGATGCCATTAATGCACAAATTAATAATCACAGAATTTACTAAAAACTAACGTAGAAATAATTTTAAAAGTATTATAATGTGCTTACCAATCAAACTTACTTCTCTGACTGCAATTCAGGGTAATAAAGCAAATTTATTGTCACGTACTCGTTCAAAATAGTTGATCAGGGAAGGGTGCATCCTGTTTAAATACTTCGGTATATTTTCAACACATAATGCCAAGAAATGCAATACAAACACTCGAAAATTTAGTTCTTAAAAGAACTGTTTGTGCTTATAGTACAATTAAAAAAATATGAAAATAGACATAAACCGAGAATTGCTCCCAAAAATTCAACAACAACACGTATATATATAAAATAATGACTGACATTATGATAATTGTCAAATAATAAAAGACAACGTTGCTGAACACGGCGCAATGTGACTAACATAGCGATAATAACATTAATTTTATCCGAATTTTTCCAGCTTTAATCTAAATAAAATATCTGTTACAATCATTTGCTCTATAAAGTAAAATGAAGAGCTGTTCGGTATCTTATATTATACAACAAATTTAAAGATTTTTGGCAAAATTTCATTTAGTCAGGTTTATAGGCTTTAGTGACAATTTGGATATGATTTATGACGTGCATTGAAAAATATTTTGCAATTACAGTTAAGTGTTTTGGTGTACTGTGATGAATTATTGTTTTATTTTGCCAAAGTATACAGGGTGGTCTGAACTGTATTCCGGAAACTTCGGTAGCATATTCTACAGATAAAAATAAGTAAAAAAGTTTATATAAATATACGTCCTAAAATGCTTAGTTTCAGAGATGCAGGGTGTAGAAATTTAATTTTTATTTCGATTTTTTCCAAATAATTTCTGAAGTAACGTCAATATTTGGATGAAAATCGGTGTCTGGGACATTTTTGACATTAGAAATTTGATTTTGATGTCAATATGACTGCTACTGGTAGAGGGCGCCACCTACATGTGTTTTAACTGTTTTGAAGCGTAATAAGTTTTTGTCCGTACCTGTATAAAACTACCGACGGAAAAAATAAACATCTCTGTGACTTTTTACGTAAAAAATATCTCTTTGTAAAAATCGCTACGAGCAACCGTTCTCAAGATATTTAGAATGGAAATAGTCAATACATGTCATTATTGACGAAAATTAAACACGTTGAGTAGATAGATATTTCACTGAAATAATAAATTTGGGAAATTTTTATATTTTTTTAAAATTAATCATAAATTTTCCTGTCAAAAAAATTATGATAAAACAGTTTCTATTGAACTTTTGGCACAAAAACTTTCAAATTTATGATCTCCGTCTAATAAGTATTTAGTCAACATATTTAATTTATGTCAATGATGATAGGTATTGATCATTTTGATTCCAAATATCTCGAAAACCAATACTCGTAGTGATTTTTACCAAGAGACATTTTTTACTTAAAAAACGTCCTATATGTACATTTTTATACTCAGTAGTTTTATACAGGTACGGACGAAAATTTATTACTCTTCAAACCAGTTAAAAAATATGTAGGTGGCGCCCTCTAGTAGTAGGAGTCATATTGACATCAAAATCAAATTTCTCATGTCAAAAAACTCCCAGACACCAATTTTCATCCAAATATTGACGTTACTTCCGAAATTATTTGGAAAAAATCTAAATAAAAATGAAACTTCTACACCCTGTATCTCCGAAACTAAGCTTTAGGACATACATTTATACGAACTTTTTTACTTATTTTTATCTGCAAAATATGCCGCCGAAGTTTCCGGAATACAGTTCGGACCACCCTGTATATACATTGTGCATAAATTGTATTTTTAATGTATTTAGAAACATATTTTAGGTTCTTACTCAGTTTTTTACGTATTTTCTATTATTTTTATTTATTGCATTTTACTACAATTTTGACCTCTACCCTCACCCGTAATTTACAAAGAAGAAATTTCATATTTTTTATCATATTGTCATATATTTTAAAATACTATACTTCTTTTAATTCTATACAGTAAGTAGATGTAAATTCTGATTAGTTTCGTTTTATTAATAAAAATTTAGAAACATTCAGTTTTTCAGATTGAACTGAATTTGGAAAACACCTTTATTATTCATTTTAAACTTTTAAAGTTTAACCTTTAACCTTTAATATAAAGAGTGAGAATAAAAATTTCAAACATATTTCTATTCTTCTGAGTTCATATGAAAAATTTCATAATAGATTGCTTAAATACCTAGCGAGATATTGCTTTTTACACTTCAAAGAGCCCTATCGGGTAGGAAATATTGCAAAATTACCTGCAGTAAAGCCTTTGTCTCTGAAATCTCTGATGCTTTCGGACAATATGTCCGACATCGATTCGCACCTCTTTGTGCTCAGTCTACTAATAAAATACAAAGGAAAAAATAGCATCGTCCAATTTGTGACGAACCATGTAGTAAAAAATGGTGCTTGATACGAAATAGTCTGGAAATAATTAAATTTAATTAAATGAACAACTTAGAGATAAGTTTTTAAAAATATATGATATAAAACGTTTGTCATTAAAAGTGATTACAATACAGGGTGACCCATTAGTGCGAAGAAGTCGAATATTGTCGTCGTTTTCCAAGATATGAAAAAAAAGTTTTATACAAATGTTGCATGGTTTATAATGTTGCATATTCTAAAAATATTATGTTGTATACAGGGTGACCAAGAAAAGTAATGATAAAGTTTTTAACTTATTTTTTAAAATTGCACCTCCCATTTCTCTGTACAGGGTGGCTCGAATTCGACGCTCATCATTGAGATTTCGGAAACCGTTAAAGATACAGGATCGGTTAAATAGATAAGTTGCGCATTTTGATGCTCAATAAAATGTCGTATCGAATTTTGTAAAATTCCGAATACTTCCGAATATATAAAAAAAAGGGATTTTCAATTTTGTTTTCTATTGTTTCATGGCTTTATTTGTTTAACTTAAAATGAAAAACACATTTTCATGGCCGCTTTTTTTGCTCTATGACTCTGATTGATTAAATATTGACTCTGATGTTTCGGCTTCTGGCGACCATCAACTTATTTTTTTTAAATACGGACCTGATTTTTTTTCAATTTAATTAAATCCTTTCATCACTCTTAAAACACTATATATAGTCACTTTGATATTTGCCGACGTTTTGTACAGAAAATTCCACCACCAGAATATTTTATGCAAAAAAAAATGCAATACGCCATTTTATTGAGCATCAAATTGCGCAACTTTGCCTCCATTTAACCGATCCTCTATCTCTTACGGTTTCCGAAATCCTAATGATGAGCATCGAATTCGAGCCACACTGTACAGATTTGGATTCAGCATAAAATTTTGCATTCTCTGCATGTAGAATAATAAGAAGAAGAATTTTATATAAGCCGTATCAGCTGCTGGACCATTTAGCAGCATTGATCAAATTAAAGTTAAATTAAACTATATTAATGAACCCAAACCCGATGACCTAATAAATTGGAACAAAGAATGTAGGTTATTAGCATCAAGAACGGAAGCCAGATCGCCATTCAGACCAAATAATTGTCTTAAGTTATTGAAGGAGGGACATTTTAAGAGGTGGTACACTGTTAATTGGTTGCCGCAATGAGAGCAGTTAGGCGGGGTCGCCTTTTAAGAAGAAAGAATGGGAGAAATAGCAGTGACCCAACCTGAGCCGATTCCAAATGACTTCCTCCCTAAAACCTTGGTAAAATAGTAGTAGAACAAATATAATTTTATTAATATTTGCCTATTTTTTATAAAAACACAAAGGATAACAGAATAAACACGCGAAGGAAAATTTACATTATCTTATAGCGGGTAATTTTTATGGCGTCGCCAACATAAATGCTCTATCTTCTAAATATTGCAATGTTGTCTACACCACAAAAATATTCCGTATAAGATAATGCGAGTTTTCCATTACGGATTTATTGTGTTATCCTTGGTGTTTAGGAAAATATAGGTAAGAATTAAAGCTATATTTACCAAATAAACGATAAATATCTTTTTTTTGGGAACCTAACCAAACCAAACCAAACCCTGTATAGAACAAAATATTTTTAGGATATGTATCATCATACCATGCCACATATGTATAAACCTTTTTTTCATATATTTGTTAACACCGACGATATTGGACTTTCCCGGACTAATGGACCACCTTGTATTTAGGAACAGAATATTTCTGAATAAATGTTGGTTTATAAAACAATAACAAAACATAACGTTAAATAAAATAATGTTGATTTATAATAAAGCGTATGCTAAAAATGAAAAAAAATATTATTTTAATTTGTGGCGTATTCATTATACAGGGTAAGTCTTAAAGAAGTGCAAATATTTTCTAAGCTGGCTGATCTCAATAAAAAAAAAACATATTTTCTCTTTACCGTTTTTCAAACAAAAACTCCAAAATAACCAAGTTATTTTATTGTGGAAATTTAAAAAAGAAATATTTATGGTTAAATTTTGAAAATCACTGGATCTTTTCTTCTGGGTATTACTTCTTGTAAATTTAATCTACGACCTATGTTTCCATATTATTAGGAAATTATGTTTTTTAACTAAAAACTATTTTAAATTTTTTCAAATTTGGAATTTCATTTTTCTGGGGTCGAAATATACTACCCCTTTACGCCTAAAAATATTTGCACGTATTTAAGACTCGCCCTGAATAGTAGTGGAGAAAAATACAACATTTGTTTTGACTCTATACACCAACAAAATAGAGTATATCTGTGGATAAGATTAAAACTATACAGTGTAGAAAACGTCTAAATTTAGCTTTCTAATACAAATTTATTTTGAAAATTACACTTACGTATCTGGTGCGTACCACACTCATATTTACATCGGAAGTATCGTGAGGTACCAAGATGGCATCGTTAATATCATAATCGTCTTTTGGTGTTTGTAGATAAAGATATTTTATGCTGTGTGTGGCTCCGACCCAGGATGCCGTTACGCAAACGGTAACCCATATTCCGAAATATATCTGAAAAATGATTAAGTTAATAATAGTGCTCCATGGCTTTTACAGATTATTCAGTCAACTACCCAAACCCTACTTCGAAAGGTCGCCATTTTTAATTTATATATTTATAACTATTTAGTAAAAACGTCAATGTTTAAGCAAAACCAGCTGCATGAGAAGCATTCGCTATATTCGTTATATGCTATTCTACCAACTCTTACTTTTGGCTCTGTATTTACATGTGTGAAAGATAATCCCTTAGGCATCTTATAAGTCGGAGTGAGAAAAATGCGACGGTTTGTTGTTGCGGCATTGCCACATTTTTCAGAGATACAAGTACGCCGAGAGTTTCCAACTATCCAAATTCAAATTTCTCACAAATGCGGTCAAAATTTACCGTTTTTTTTCTAAAAATTTCAACGTGTTACTCAACATCAATTATAGTGTCGTCGAAGGAAAACATTTGGGGGAGGGTTTCTTTGATGTTCATTTACGGCTTTCATCCGTCGAACTAGACACTATATTCTGCCTTACAAAAAAAAAACAACAACAACAAACAAACTGTTAACAAAAAAAAAACATTTATTTTCCATAACTACCCACTAACTGCGACTGATCCGACGAAAGGAATAAAATGAACGAGCCAAGGAAGATTTCGACGACATCCAAAAAATAACAGAAAATACAATTTACCTGTGAATTAAAAGGACAGACACATGTGTCACTAAGGTTGCCACCTGTCCTTTTTTGAAGAGGACAATTCTTTTTTAAACAAATTTTTCTTGTGACTTTTTACCGTAAAATGACCTTTTTATTTACGTATTTTTCATAACTAAGTTATCTACAGCAAGATTAAAATTCCAATATCCGTTTTTTATTTTGCAGCAAGGTTGCAACGCTAATCATCACTCTGAAGGAAAATAATCCTTTTTTTTCACTCTCTAAGTCTTTATTTACGATCCCTTTTTTTCATTTAAAACACATAACACACTTAAATTAAAAAAAAACATAACATAGATATTAGGTAGAGAAATATCAGGAAAATCTTTTCTGATTATTATTATATATATTAGTATCTATTATATATACTTTATATTAGTATTTTATCAACTAGAATTATTTGCTCTCTGTATACGGTCAACATAGGTATATCTGCACTGCTTGTCTGTGAAAAGAAAAAAATTTCGTGATATTTCTCTACTTAATATCTATGTTATGTTTTTTTTAAATGTAAGCGTGTTATGTGTTTTAAATGAAAAAAGGGGTATATACCACTCCCCTCTATACCATCCGTGTATTAATGGATATGACTAAGAAAGTCCAGATTTAAATGTTAGTAACATATACTTATATTTTATTTAATTGTTCATATTAGGGTAGTTTTACCAATTGTATATGTGTGGAATTCCACTGATATGTGTTTTAAGTTGTTGTATTTTGATTGTATTTTGCTCTCTTAACTTTGTAGTATCCTGAAGATGCAAATAAATTTTTCGAAACGTCGACAAATTTAAAACAAAGGACTTCTGTTGATTTCTTTCGATCCTAATCCAATTTAAAAAAAAACACATTATATAAATATATAACTTATGCCAAATTTGAACAAAGTTTTCAAAACTAGGTAGATGTATATTATCATAAAACGTTAATTTTACTCAGTTTAAGAATTTCCTACGAATTACCTTTACCTTTTCCCTCTGAAAATTTTCCACGAGCTGGCATCACTGACGCGTTTCCCTATCTCGTGGAGTAAAATCACCCCTTTTAGAAAAATTGAAGATACATTTTTTTAATTACACACTCTAAAATAATTAACAAAAATAGTTAAATCAGTTAAATATTTAAAAAGTGTACTACGTTTATATTTTATGCAATGCTATAAATTATGCAATTTTATTTGAAAAAAATATGTTTTAATGGTCCTTGTATGCTCTGAGGAAGAACTTGTTCAAATAATGAGAAGGCTGAGTAAGATCAGTGCGGAACTACTTCTGAACAAAAAGACAACGCAAGTTATGATATTAGACCGAAATCCTACTAACATCAGGGAGATTGAGGGTTTTGAAGTGGTTGAAAATATTGGATCAATTACCTTGGATCCTTCATGACAATCAAGGGAGGCTGTGACGAATAAATCAAACGCAGACTATAGTAGTAGTAGTAGTATAGTAGTAGACTAGCAATAGCTCGTAACTTGACAATAAAACTGACACGAATATGGAAAGACACTGCAATATCCCAGCACAACAAATTAAAATTAATAAACACATTGATCTTTTCTATCGCTACTTAGGCATCTGAGACCTGGGCTTTGAAAACTACAAACAGATGAAAAGTAGATACTTAAATGTTATAGAAGGACTTATAGAAGAATACTGCGAATTTCATACACAGAACATCGGACCAACGCGCAACGTCTCAATTCCAAGGCAGTTGAAAGTTACCAAAAGACTTTGAAACAAAATAAACCAGCCATAACTTAGGTACTTCGGGCACATTTCGAGAAGAACAGATGGACTGGAACAAATCATAATCGAAGGGAGGATTAGTGGCAAACAACCAAGAGGAAGGTCACCGACGCGCTCGGTGGACCAAGCCAAAGAAATTATTGGCCACGGTCTGCAAGACGCTTCTCTAGCCGCTCAAGATAGAGAGAGATGGAGAAGAACGATCAGAACGATGTCACCATACTCTTTCGATAGTTAACGGACAAGAAGAAGGAAGAATTGATATAGTCTTAAATTTCATCTCGAATTTCTCTAACAGAAATCTATTAGCACCTTAAAAGGAAGCATAAATTTAAGCACCGTCAAGAATAACGAAACAGCAATAGTTGAATAATTTATGCGACCAATTACCTTAAAATAGCGTGCATACGGAATTTGTCGCGTGCTGTTCGCGACGCCAAATTGCAACGATCTTGTCGGAAAAGGGCGTTCTGGAATGGAAATACGAGCTTTGTGAGCTGCGTGAGCTCAAGTCTGATTTTACTACGCGAACTTTTCTTTGCCTCGTAAATCTATTTCTTGCTCGTGCCCCTAACACCGGTAGTTTTCACATATTTCTCGGCGTAATACTCTGTAAGTACTCGACTTATCCGTATCCGTAAGTTTATACACACGCATTAATGTTATAGGTATATATAAAATGACGTTAATGTTTATTTATTTATAATAATCAATTTACTTTCTCATAAGACATATATATGCAAACATAAAGATTCTGTACAGTATATATTATGTTACAGTAAAAGTTGGAAATCAGTGATTGTTAACAATTATTACTAGTAAAAGTTCACATTCACTGCCAGCATTGAGTTTAAAAATCTGTCTACATTCTTCACAGATAGTATGAAAAAATTTTTATAAATAAAAAAGTTACACTATTGCTGAAAATTGCGTTGCACTAAAAGTAAATGGATATGGGTTGTTTAAAATTTTTGAATGGAAACAACCTTATCGAATTTTTCTTATTTAAACATATTGTAAAAGATCCGATCTTCAAAATAAAAAGTTTCAATACTAAAGTGGTTCTTAAGTTATGGCGTGTTATGTGTTAAAAAGTTGAGTTTTTAAATTATCGCGATTACTGACGTTTCCTCGTTATAAAAAAATGAATACCCTAACGATATCCTTAATAATTCCATTTCAGATGCTCAGAAACATATCTAATGATTTTATCTAGTTATCTTTTCGAAAAAAGTCTTTTAAAAATAAACGGTTTGCGATCGTGATTTTACTTTACTAGACAGAGAAAGGCGTACTGGCAACACCGCAATAGCACGCCGTCGCATTTCTCTCACTCCGACTCAATAAGATCCCTATGCGATTCACTTCCACACATGTAAATACCGACCCAAAAGTAACAGTTGCCAGCACGGTATAAGGATAACATTAAATTGTGTTAAAAATTGGCAACTTTGACAGACATCTGGCGCAAATTGGTATTGTTTTATGTGGTTATATACCTGGTGCGTCTCGTGGCTTACCCCTATAACTTTTTTGTTTTTATAGACAAAAAAACGCGATTTGGTATGTTAGTATATGACTGATAAATTAGGATTGATTGACGTATTCAATTGTTTTTGGCCACTTCTTGTTTCACAGGAAATGACTACAACTTTTGATTTTTAAATGGCACGCCTTCGGTATATTTCTACCTTATTCGATAGAAAATGACAGTCTAAGTAGAATGACATATCATATGTCAACTTTTGATATCAACTCATTCTCGCTTAAAAAATCGTATTTGAAATTTTAACCAATTTTATTACTGTATTATTACTTTAAGTACAATGTTAATTAGTGTTAAGTACAATATTAATTAATGTTAGTACAATACTAATTTTAAGTACAATGGCAAGGAGTCTTGGAAAATCGATTTGATCGTCTAATATTTTCCGTGTCTCGTCCTGGCCGGTTAAAAGATGTCCAAATCGCATTTTTAATCATATCTCATTTTTTCAAATGGAACAAGTGTGGCCCAGTAGCATATATGGAAAAACTATTTTTTACGAATAATTTAGTACCACATACTTGGTATTTCGAGTCAAATCGAGTCAGTCGTTAAGAACCGCATTTTACAACTACAAATAAATCATGCAAAAATGTAAAAAAGTTGACATATGATATGTCATTCTACTCAGAATGCCATTTTCTATCGAATAAAGTAGAAATATGCCAAGGGTGCCATTTAAAAATCAAAAGTTGTATTAGTTTCCGGTGAAAGAGGAAGTGACAAAAAACAATTAAATATGTCAATTAATAATAATTTATGTCATATACTAACATTTATCAAATCTCGTTTTATTAAACAAAAAAGTTATAAGGGTGAGCCACTTTTGAGACGCACTCGGTATAATATACAATGTTTTGTTATCGTTGTAAAAAGCGCTGTGCAGTATTTTCCTTAAATGGAAGAAATTTTCTGTGAAAATTTAAAGCAAAATTCAAGGCTCTCGCAAAAATGTAATAGAGCTTGTTTTTCATTTTTGAAATATAATGAAATTATAGCAAAAATTA